AGAAATCCCCCCTCCCAGTACAAATCCTCCCCCCTGCTGAAAAATCCCCCCTCCCAGTAGAAATCCTCCCCCCTACAGAAATCCCCCTCCCAGCACAAAATCTTCCCCCTGCTGAAATCCCCCCTCCCAGTACAAATCCTCCCCCTGCTCAAATCCCCCCTCTTAGTACAAATCCTCCCCCCTGCATAAATCCCCCTTCCCAGCCACAAATCTCCCTCCTGCTGAAATCCCCCCTCTTAGTTCAAATCCGCCCCTGCTGAAATCCCCCCTCCCCAGTACAAATCCTCCCCCTGCTGAAATCCCCCCCCTTAGTACAAATCCCCCCCCTGCAGAAATCCCCCTTCCCAGCACAAATCCTCCCCTTGCTGAAATCCCCCCTCCCAGTTACAAATCCACCCCCTGCTAAAATCCCCTCTCCCAGTTCAAATCGTCCCCCCTGCGGAAATCCCACCTCCCAGCACACACATCACTCCTCCCCCTGCTGAAATCCCTCCTCCCAGTTTCAAATCCTCCCTCCTGCTGAAATCCCACCTCCCAACACAAATCCTCCCCCTGCTGAAATCCCTCCTCCCAGTACAAATCCTCCCCCTGCTGAAATCCCTCCTCCCAGTACAAATCCTCCCCATGCTGAAATCCCCCTCCCAGTTCAAATTCCCCCCCCTACTGAAATCCCACCTCCCAGTACAAATCCTCCCCCTGCTGAAATCCCTCCTCTTAGTACAAATCCTCCCCTGCTGCTGAAATCCCCCTCCCAGTTCAAATCCTCCCCCTCCCCCCCTGCTGAAATCCCACCTTCCCAGTACAAATCCTCCCCCTGCTGAAATCCCCCCACCATCCCAGTTCAAATCCTCCCCCCTGCTGAAATCCCCCCTCCCAGTACAAATCCTCCCCCTGCTCAAATCCCCCCTCTTAGTACAAAAATCCTCCCCTGCTGAAATCCCCCATCCCAGTTCAAATCCTCCCCCCTGCAGAAATCCCCCTACCCAGCACAAATCTCCCTCCTGCTGAAGTCCCCCCAATCTTAGTTCAAATCCGCCCCTGCTGAAAATCCCCCCTCCCAGTACAAAATCCTCCCCTGCTGAAATCCCCCCTCTTAGTACAAATCCCCCCCCTGCAGAAATCCCCCTTCCCAAGCACAAATCTCCCCCCTGCTGAAATCCACCCTGTTAGTAGAAATCCTCCCCCTGCTGAAATCCCCCCTCCCAGTACAAATCCTCCCCCTGCTGAAATCCCCCCTCCCAGTTCAAATCCTCCCCCCTGCTGAAATCCCTCCTCCCAGTACAAATCTCCCCCCCTGCTGAAATCCCCCTCCCAGTACAAATCCTCCCCCCCTGCTGAAATCCCTCCTCCCATACAAATCCTCCCCTTGCTGAAATCCCCCCCACCCAGTACAAATCCACCCCCTGCTAAAATCCCCTCTCCCAGTTCAAATCGTCCCCCCTGCGGAAATCCCACCTCCCAGTACAAATCCTCCCCCCTGCTGAAATCCCTCCCCCAGTTCAAATCCTCCCCCTGCTGAAATCCCACCTCCCAACACAAATCCTCCCCCTGCTGAAATCCCTCCTCCCAGTACAAATCCTCCCCCTGCTGAAATCCCTCCTCCCAGTACAAATCCTCCCCATGCTGAAATCCCCCTCCCAGTTCAAATCCCCCCCCTGCTGAAATCCCCCCTCCCAGTACAAATCCTCCCCCCTGCTGAAATCCCTCCTCCCAGTACAAATCCTCCCCCTGCTGAAATCCCCCCTCCCAGTACAAATCCTCCCCCTGCTGAAATCCCCCCACCAGTACAAATCCCCCCTCCCAGTACAAATCCTCCCCCTTCCTGAATTCCCCCTCCCAGTACAAATCCTCCCCCCCTGCTAAAATCCCCCCTCCCAGCACAAATCCTCCCCCCTGCTGAAACCCCCCCCCCCCTCAACACAAATCTTTGTCCCTCCCATCCTCCCTATCTCAAATTAACTCTCCACCCCTCCCATGTGCCCTCAGGACAAATCTTCACCCCCAAAAAAAATTTCCCCCCCTCCTTACACAAATGCTCTCCCCCTCAAATTTCCCCTCCAAGCACAAATACCCCTCCCCTAATCCCCTATCCGAACACAAATCCCCTCCCACAAATTTTCCCTCCTAGTACAAATGCCCCCCAATCATCCCTACTAGCACAACTCTTCCCCCCCTCCCCTCCCCAAAAAATTTTTTCCATTAGAGCACAAATCCTCTTCCTCCACCCCCCTCCCAGTACAAGTCTCCGCAAATCACCACTCCCAAAAATTCCCCCCTAGAACAATGTTTACCCCCGCCCTGAAAGACACGCGACTTACATGTGTGACTTTGACAGGCGACTTCCTAGGGACATGAGTACGACTTTGATGCCACTTTGAAGTGACTTTCAGGGAATGCTGGGTCATCTTCCTGCAATGTCGGATCCAAATCCCATCAATGTAGAGGAGGATCTGACTTGGAGGCGACTTCCATTAAAGTCTATGGGCACAAGTCGCAGAGAAGTCGCCTGGAAGGAGCTCAGGAACCTTTTCTGAAGTCGGAGCGACTTCAGTGGTGCTAATTATGATGGCTCTCTCATTGACTTACATGGGATTTCAGGTGTCATGGGACTCGGGGGGGGTGTCTCGCAATCCCAAGTCGGATCCTCTTTCATGTGAAAATGAAACAAGTCACGGCCTGTGTGAACCGAGCCTAATATGGACTCTTTCATGTGAAAATGAAACAAGACGCATGAACTGAACCATACCCTCCCTCCCGGCGTGCTGTACCCTCCCGGCGTGCCGTACCCTCCCGGCGTGCCGTCCCCGTGCCTCCCGGCGTGCTGTACCCTCCCGGCGTGCCGTACCTCCTGGCGTGCTGTACCCTCCCAGCGTGCCGTTGTCCTTCTATACTGTTATTGACTAAGGGAATCCCCAGCGACTTTGTGTACAAACGGAGGGAAGAGATTTGGAGCTGGCCAGGGCTTTTCTTTGTTGTAAATGTAGCCGAATGTATACTTCATAAAGATGTTTTTGGGGTTTTTTAATGGTTGAACTGGATGGACTTTTGTCTTTTGACCAGACTAACTATGTAACAATGTAACTATGTGTCGCTTCACAGGCAGTTTATTGCCCCCCCCCACCGCATGTTATTTAACCACTTAAGCTCCAGAAGATTTTACCCCCTTCATGGCCAGGGCATTTTTTGCTGTTCGGCACTACGCTACTTTAAGTGGCAATTGTATGGTCATGCAACACTGTACCCAAATACACTATATTGCCCCAAGTATTGGTTGGCTGGCCTTTCTACGCACATGAACTTTAATGGCCCCCCAGTCTTATGCAGGCCATAGACGGGCCGTTTATCGTCCGAAATCGGTCAGCACTGTTGCTGATGCTGCCACCATCGTCCACGAAAAACGGCCGTTTTTTGTGGATTTTCTAGGATGACCGATAAAAGTAAACGAGACGATCCACGAAAAACGGCCGACGTGCGGACACCACTAACGGCGTGAATATTTTCATGCGGACGAAAAATCGGACGACAAAAGACCCGTCTATGGCCTGCATTAGTCTGTACGGTTCAATATTGAGTTGGCCCCGCCCTTTCCACGCACATGACCTTTAATGGCCCCCCAGTCTTAGTCCATAGGGTTCAATATTGAGTTGGCCCCGCCCTTTCCACGCACATGACCTTTAATGCCCCCCCCAGTCTTAGTCCATAGGGTTCAATATTGAGTTGGCCCCGCCCTTTGCAGCTATAACAGCTTCAACTCTTCTGGGAAGGCCGTCCACAAGGTTTAGGAGGGTGTCTATGGGAAGGTTGGACCATTCTTCCAGAAGCACATTTGTCAGGTCAGGCACTGATGTCGGGGGGAGGAGGCCTGGCTCACAGTCTCCGCTCTAATTCATCCCAAAGGTGTTCTATGGGGGTTGAGGTCAGGACTCTGTGCAGGACAGTCAAGTTCCTCCACCCCAAACTGGCTCCTCCATGTCTTTATGGATCTTGCTTTGTGCGCTGGTGTGCAGTCATGTTGGAACAGGAAGGGGCCATCCCCAAACTCTTCCCACAAAGTTGGGAGCATAAAATTGTCCAAAATGTCGCCTTAAGAGTTCCCTTCACTGGAACTAGGGGGCTAAACCCAACCCCAACCCCTGAAAAAACACCCCACACCATAATCCCCCTCCACCAAACTTTACACTTGGCACAATGCAGTCTGGCAAGTACCATTCTCCTGCAAACCCAGACACGCCCATCAGATTGCCAGACAGAGATTGGTCACTCCAGAGAACACAGTCTCCCCAGTGGCGGCGTGCTTTACACCACAGCATCCGACGCTTTGCATTGCACTTGGTGATGGAAGACTTGGATGCAGCTGCTCGGCCATGGAAACCCATTCCATGAAGCTCTCTACGCACTGTTGTTGGGCTCATCTGAAGGCCACACACAAGTTTGGAGGTCTTTAGCTATTGACTCTGCAGACAGTTGGCGACTTCTGCGCACTGTGCGCTTCAGCATGCGCTGACCCCCGCCCCTGTTATGTGACGTGGCCTACCACTTGGTGGCTGAGTGGCTGTTGTTCCCAGTTGCTTCCACTTTGTTATAATCCCACTAACAGTTGAGCGTGGAATATTTAGTAGCCAGGAAATGTCCCGGATGGACTTATTGCCCAGGTGGCCACCTATCACGGGACCACGCTTGGAGTCACTGAGCTCCTGAGAGCGACCCATTCTTTCACCAATGTTTGTAGAAGCCGTCTGCATGCCTAGGGGCTTGATTGTATACACCTGTGTCCATGGAGGGGATTGGAGCACCTGAATCACATGATATGGAGGGGATTGGAACACCTGAATCACATGATATGGAGGGGATTGGAACACCTGAATTACATGATTGGGAGGGGATTGGAACACCTGAATCACATGATATGGAGGGGATTGGAACACCTGAATCACATGATATGGAGGAGATTGGAACACCCGAATCATATGACTGGGAGGGGATTGGAACACCTGAATCACATGATTGGGAGGAGATTGGAACACCCGAATCACATGATTGGGAGGGGATTGGAACACCTGAATCACATGATTGGGAGGAGATTGGAACACCCGAATCACATGATATGGAGGGGATTGGAACACCCGAATCACATGATATGGAGGGGATTGGAACACCTGAATCACATGATATGGAGGGGATTGGAACACCTGAACCACATGATATGGAGGGGATTGGAACACCTGAATCACATGATTGGGAGGGGATTGGAACACCTGAATCACATGATATGGAGGGGATTGGAACACCTGAATCACATGATATGGAGGAGATTGGAACACCCGAATCATATGACTGGGAGGGGATTGGAACACCTGAATCACATGATATGGAGGAGATTGGAACACCCGAATCACGATTGGGAGGGGATTGGAACACCAAATCACATGATTGGGAGGGGATTGGAACACCTGAATCACATGATATGGAGGGGATTGGAACACCTGAATCACATGATATGGAGGGTGGGGCCAATACTTTTGGCAATATCATGTACCATTATTTTCATGCAAATAGATCTTTCCTTTGGCAGTAGTTGATCACCGCTGTTCTTTTTCTTTAATTATATAAGAAAAAAGACCAAACATTTTAAAATTTTGAAAGAGCAATATTTTTTTTAACTTTCTGCAAGAAAACATATCCATTAAAAAATTTTTAAAAAAATCTAATTTCTTCTTAAATTTAGGCCGAAATGTATTCTGCTCCATGTCTTTGGTAAAAACAAACCCCGGTGAGTGTCTATGGATTGGTTTGTGTGAATGTTCTGGCGCCCACTAACTACGTTGTACATACAGGCGTTCTTCGGTTTACGTAATTTTCGGGTAACGAATACAAATCCATTGACAATAACGCCTCGGTTTACAAATTTTTTCCCGCAATATGAACGGATTAATTGGTTTTCAATGCATTTACTAATTATTCTTCAATCATGTCCCTGAACAGTATTTATGCCTTTAAAGTGCACTTTATAAAGAGTTTTGAACAGATAAGAGACTTTTATTTTTACTTTTTTCTGACCTCCGGAACGGATTAATTGGTTTTCATTGCATTCCTATGGAAAACCGCCTTTCGGTTTACGAATTTCTCGCAATACGAAAAGTCCCGCAGAACGAATTAAATTCGTAAACCGAGGTACGCCTGTAGACTGAAATTTTTTTTATTAATACTAGTAATGGCGGGAATCCGTGGCTTACACTGGGACTGTGATAGTGCTGCGGGCAATCTGACACTAACTGACACTGGGTGGGAACTGAATAACTGACACTGACATCGCGAGTGACACTGATAAAGTGATCAGTGCTGGTAGTGTACACAGATATTGTACTAATGACACTGGCTGGGAAAGGGTTAACATCTAGGGGCAATCAAAAGGTTAACTGTGTGCCTATGGATGTGTACTGTGTGCTGTTTTACTTAGCAGTGCGCCGGTATTTACTCACTGCTTTGCAGGGAGAGGAAAAAACTGGCGCATCGCTGCTGTCTTTAGAGAGCCCTGTGTTGTTTACCAACACAGAGCTCTCTTCAGTCATTCGTTCAGCTGATCAGCGGGTCCCAGCCATAAATCATCGTCTGACCAGCTTGTGCTGTAGTGAATGACAGCACAGCGGGGGGCCAGGGTGGCGCACGTGCGCACCCCCTACCCAGAAATGCTGCGCAGCAGCCTGCACTGTGGCAGTATATGTACAATGCGCGGTCCGCAGGCGGTTAAAGGAAATAATCATTTTCAGTGTTGCCCTTTAAGCGTTTATTACCCCAACATTTCCTATTCCTGGTCTGTGCCTGCCGTGCCGCGTGTTCCAAAATCTCCTGTTCTCTTTGTGTGAAATCACTGGTGATCCCGCCAGTCCCCCTGCCTGTGCTGACACGCCCACCCGCATCAGCCATTCACTGGGAAGATCGGTGCGCTGCTGTTTCTCTGCCTCCTGCCACTTTACCCCCCAAAAAATGTGCATTACGTTTTGTTGGTGTGCACCTCATTTTAGTGTATTTTTTCCCGACAATTTGCATTTGACAAACCGCTGCGCGCATATCATGTGACATAAAAATTTGCAACAGCCGCCATTTTATTCTATAGCTTCTGCTTTTTTTTTTTCTAGGCCCCGCAAAAAAATTTGAAAATTTTAATGTGAGAAATTAAAAAATTGCCCCCCTCCGTGAACAGGCTGGAGGGACCTCTCAGCCTTCTATGTGTGGCTGTGTGTCGGTGAGCCATGGATTAGGGGAGGGTACTATCAGTCTTCCTGTACGGGGCCCAGGACAGCAGGGGGCCCAGGCAGCTGGGTGTATTGGATGTTGGCACGGAGGGTGATCGGCATGGTGGGATGGGGGGGGGGTTACTGGAACCGATCCCCTGTATGGCTCCCCCTGCAGCAGCTGAAATCCGGCTTCTTCAGAGGGTGATGGGTGTGGAGGGGGAGCAATTACTGGGGACCGATCCCCTGTATGGCTCTCCCTGCAGCAGCTGAAATCCGGCTTCTTCAGAGGGTGATGGGTGTGGAGGGGGAGCAATTACTGGAACCGATCCCCTGTATGGCTCCCCCTGCAGCAGCTGAAAGCCGGCTTCTTCAGAGGGTGATGGGTGTGGAGGGGGAGCAATTACTGGAACCGATCCCCTGTATCGCTCTCCCTGCAGCAGCTGAAATCTGGCTTCTTCTCCTCTCCCTCTCTCACTGGCTTTCAGCTGCTACAGAGAGAGCAATACAGGGGATTGGTTCCAGTAACTGCCCCGCCCCTGCCACACCCATCACCCTCTGTGCACTATGCCTTCCCCCTGCTGCTCATGACCCCCCCCCGTGTGCCCCTAACCCTGCAGTACTCCAGGTTTCCCTCCTCTCCTTCCCACCAGCAGCTGCAAGCACATTATTTACCACACATTGACCACTCTCTTTCCCGAATGAACACAATGAATGATCAGTACTGTATCACCCGCTGTGTTCATTCATAACTGAAGCATAGATAACTGAAGCATAGTAGCGTGTCTTTTTTTTTTTTTCTTGGGGGGAGAGCCCTGTCAGGTTGCAGGAATTTCTAACAGCAGCTCCGGTGACGGGTCCTCTTAGGTCGGGCCGATAAGGAAGGAGGAGCGATGATGCGGACGAGCGATGATGCGACTTCCAAGCTGGCGTTTTGGGCTTTTTTTTGTTTTTTTTTTTTTTTTTTTTTTCTCCAGCCGCTGCTGATGTCAGCCCAGAGCTACAAGGGTGGTTTTGATTTTGTCCTAAATTAAAGACTGCTTTTTCTTTGGGCTAAACTTAGAAGTACCGTTGGCTTTTCAAACGGCAGGAAATGAGGCTGTGAAAGTGCCAAGTCATGACGCCAGGCTACCGAAAACAAGCCTCCATTCTCTCTGTTCCCGTTAACCCCTTCGCGGCCCCCGGGGAGGGGGGGGGTGACTCATGCAGCTTGGGCGGAGGAGCGATTGTCGCATTAACTCATTACGGGAAAAGATTGGCGCGTGTCTCGCCGCGGCCCATGCGGCAAGTCGCAGCCTATTAATACGGACGGTTTTCTGGGCGGCTGATTTTTTTTCTTTCCCTGGTATAAGCGGACCCCATGCTCGGCTCCATCTCTGGGCACCTACCCCACCAGGAATCGTTGTTACCGCATTAAGGCGGAGCGGCGACGATTTATGCCGCCCGCGGCTCGGGGGGATGTTTTGAAAGCTGTTTGGGAGAACTTTGATCCCCCAGGTGTATGACTCCGACTGTTTTCTGTGCCGAGAATTTCTATTTTCCTATTTCCCACAATATCCGTCCTGCAGCGCCGGTCGTAGGATGTGCTCAGATCCGCTCTTAAAGGACAACTCCACCCCGATCTGTCGGTGAGCGATGAGGCAGAAAATATACAGCTGAGCTCAAGATACGCTCTTTAGATATTCTGTTGTTACAGTCAGGGGCGTATTTGCCGCAAGGCAATCAAGGCGCTTGCCTAGGGTGGCATTTTTTTGGGGGGAAGGGGGCGTTGGTTGTCCTGTGTTGAGCCAAGGAGGCCAGAGAGCTGTGATGGTTAGTCTGGTTGAGGGGGGATTGGGGTGTTGTTATGTAGGGGGGCATGGTAGGTAGGGGGGAGGTTGCAGGTGGGGGGCGGGGCAACACAAACCCTAAATACAGCACTGGTTGCTACAAAAATCTTTTTACTTTGCGATGTAAAGTCTCGTTAGTTCATGTGCGTCCAATCCTGTCGCACTAAAACATGGGGAATCAATGCCTGGGACAAGGTCATCCAGCGCCCAGGGCAAAGAAGCCAAACTGCGCCCCCTTCATTATGTACGGGATTAGGGGTGCTGCCCCCAGCAGTAATCCGCTTGTCAAAATGCTTTGTATCAGAATGAGCTCACTGGTGCCCCCATCCATACAGTAAACTGCTGCACCCAGGGCAGCCGCCCCTCAGGCCCACCCCTTGTCCCGGCCCTAGGTAGGACACACGCAGGCTGTAAATGTAAAGGTGAACTAACTCCGTCCATCGACCTCACCCTCACCCCAACCCCCCCCCCCCCCCCCCCGTCTTCCATCCTCCCTCCCTCCTTCCCTCCCTTCCTTCCTCCATACCTTCCTTTCTCTTAAGCACAAGTTCTTCCACCCTCGCTCCCTTCCTCTCTTTCTTTTTTTCTTTTTCTTTCTTTCTTTCCTCCTCTCTTTCTTTCTCTCCTTTCTCTCTCTCTCTCTCTCCCCTTCCTTTCTCTCCCTTCCTTTCTTTCTTCCCTTTCTCTCTTTCCTTTCCTTTCCCTTTTCCTTTCCCATCACCCACCGTCACCCATTGTCACCCACCATCACCCAACACCCACCATCCCCCACTATCACTCACCATCACCCACCATGCACCCACCATCACCTAGCATTACCCACCGTCACCCATTGTCACCCACCATCACCTATCACCCACCATCCCCCACCATCACTCACCGTCACCCACCATCATCCCCCATCACTCATCCCCAACCATTACCCACCATCCCCTACCATCATCCACCATCACCCATTGTCACCCAGCATCACCCACCATGCACCCAATGTCACCCACCATCACCCATTGTCACCCACCATCACCCAACACTCACCATCATCCACCATGCAACCACCATCACACATTGTCACTCAACAATACCCACCATCACCCATTGTCACTCACCATCCCCCACCGTCACTCACCATCACCCACCATCATCCACTATCACCCACTGTCACCCACCATAACCCATTGTCACCCACCATCACCCACCAAGCACCCACCGTTACCCACCATCACCCACCGTCACCCATCATCATCTACCATCACCCATCAAGCACCCACCATGCACCCACCATCACCCACTATCACTCACCAAGCACACACTGTCACCCACCGTAACCCACCATCTCCCATCGTCACCCACCATCACCCATCGTCACCCACCAAGCACCCACTGTCACCCATGATCACCCACCATGCACTCACCGTCACCCACCATCATATAGGGTGACAACGCTTTGTCCCTGTCCCCCAAGTGCGCTTGTGTGTTGTCACCCTGCCACTAGAT